CCCTTATATCAAAGAAGTCATTTGGCATTTGTTTTTTAAGGATTGGCTAGCTTCACTTAGCATAATCTGCTCTAATGCCATCCATTTCCCTCCAAATGAAATGATGTATATTTTTGATAGATATATTTTCTTATTGTTTTGGATTCTCCCCCGCCCCCCCACATCCCCGGGATTGAACCCAAGGGCACTTAACCACTAAGTCATGTCTCCAGTCCTTTATTATTATTATTATTGTTATTATTATTATTATTTATTGAGGATTGAACTCAGGGGTGCTCAACCACTGACCATATTCCCATTCCTTTTTATATTTTATTTAGAGACAGGGTCTCACCGAGTTGCTTAGCACCTTGTTAAATTGCTGAAGCTGGCTTTGAATTTGAAATCCTCCTGCCTCAGCCTCCTGAGCTACTGGGATTATAGGCGTGTGCCACTGTGCCTGGCATCTTTTTATTTTTTATTTTGAGACATGGTTTTGTTTATTTGTTGAGGCTGGCTTTGAACTTGCAGTCCTCCTGCCTCAGCCTCCTGAGTTGCTGGGATTACAGGTGTGCAAAACTGTACTCAGCTTATTTTTTTTTTAATACAGTGATAACATTTTTTACTCATAGTGATGTTTATTATGTTAAGTCACATAGTAGTTAGATTGTACCATTCTCTCTATAATTAAAGTACACCATTTTTATTGAACTTATAAATATCACATTTTTTAAACAAATGTCAATGATGATTTCCCTTTGTAAAAAATACTTTTTGTTCCTTAAAAATGAAGTCATCTTTTATAATTTATTATAATGACTAAGAAAAATTGGTGGTGTTTCATTTGTAAGTTATTCATAAAGGAGGCTTACAAATGTATCAAATTTTATTTGTTAAATTTCCTTTATGTAAAGGAGATATAGATATGTTGGTATATGTACGATATAAATTACATTGGCTAAATCATAATTTACAAACTCAGCATGTGAATATATGTGTGAAGAACTCTTTAAGGTAAAGTTCTTAAAGAGCAGTTGATAGCTACATAGTGATTCTTCTTCTAAAATTTTTAGATCAATCAAATGGCAACAGCACCAGATTCTCAGAGACTAAAACTATTAAGAGAAGTAGCTGGTACTAGAGTATATGATGAACGAAAAGAAGAAAGCATCTCCTTAATGAAAGAAACTGGTAAAATAAATGTGATACTGCTTTATTTATTTTTGTTGCAGATTATTTTGTCATTGTGTTGTTACAGTTAATAAGTTATGTCTGTTCTCAAGACATGTTGTGTGATAATTTGCCTATATACTGAATGGAGACAAAATTAGTTTGAGACATTTTAAAGTTTTAAGATTTTCAGTGATTCATTAATTTTGAATAAGGAAACATCAGAATTAGAACTGTAGGGCCTTTGTAAGTCAACTACTTTGACTCTTCCTTCCTTGCTGTTGTTAGTGAGGACAACAAATTTGAATGCATACTCCCCTCGGAAATACTGGAGTACCATTGGCATTAGGTTTTAAATTGTTCAGGAACAAATAAATGTAGAACTTTGAGCTTGAAATCTTCATTATTATAGTACATATATTATGAAATCCTCTTTTGCTTTTCAAGTGCTGTGTTATATTGTGTCTTAGAGTTTGACAATCCTGGGTTCAAAATCCTATAA